AAGATTTTAATATTTGTGTGATTTAAACAGATTGAAAATGGAATGGTTAAACTTCAGAGTCGAGATGGAATGTCAGGCCAGGTAAAGCTAGAATCGGCCTTTCCGCTTGCAACTTGCTATGCGTGAAGCTTGCCGACGACCTAGCGGACCCTTTTGTCCCTCCAGTTTGTCGAAATTTGCTATCGTAGGCACTACTTGTTCTTCTGCTATCACTTTTTTCTGTCGGTACTTCAGTCACTCAGCGGAACCGTACCTGATGATCAGGTTCTAGCAGAAGCATGTTTGATTGTTATCTTTATTTTCACATTCTTTGATTCGCAGGCAACCATAATGCTTCCATGAATCGAAAGTGATTCCCTGGTTTCTGACGATATCGTGTAAGGCCACGTTTTGTTTTTTCTCATGTTAAGGCTGTCTCTCTGTTATGACGCTGAATTTTATAGACAATGTTATAGTGAAGCTGACGGAGAGAATGCTTTACGGGAACATGCTCAGCATCACGGTCTTAACTGAAAGATCTGTCTCGGCGGAGTTAGTCCTATGGCTGGGGGAAGGATCTGTGCCCGGAGTTGATCCTGGCAAGATCAAACAGTAAGAAAGCTCCAAAGCTTTCTCCAAAACTTTCATATTGGTAAGAGAGTTCAGTTCTTTTCTTTTATCAGTTTTGCAACCTTGGTTCCAGGGACGATATGCTATATTACTTTGTCTAGTAAACGAGGATTTGAACGGCTCTTATATCCTACAGAGTTTGTCTCTTATAGAATCTTCGGTTAAAAGCGATGGCGAACAGAAACTTGTCAAGGACATCAGGAAAGAAAGGAGATTATTATTACCTGTATACTGACTATGTATGTGTGCATGCAGGCAATGGGAATGCAGGCGGAAATGAACAAGCTGGACTGAGGGTCGTCCTGGGTGAGAGGTCGTTTGCCAGAGATAAATAAGTTTTCTCCGTATGGCCTTACTACATGATTGATATGTTTTTTCGTTCTTCAGATGACTATTCTGTTTCCAACGAAGCAAACCGAGTTGTCCAAAGCTAATTATATTCTACGCCACGTCAAGAGGCTTTCTTCTCCGAGTGTCGTAGTTCCATCGGCGGGCCCTTATGGATCGAGCCATTGCCGATCATTTCGACAGACCGTAAGGAACATAACCAGGGTGGTTTCTAATGAAAAACCAGAGGTGAAGAGAATCCTTTGTTGTTGTTTCTGACTGCCTGGAGGTTTTGTTTTGCTCAGATACATGAAGTATTGGAGGAGATTAATCAATTTAAGCAAATTTAATCTTTTTTAACAACTGTGCTTGGTTTTTGTTTGTCGTGCTATACTCTCATAGTGGTACATAAGGTACAGCGGAGGTTTCACGTTTTCTCAACAGCTGTTTTACACTGAAATCAGCTGAAAAAAAATCCTTTCTTCATACGTGTCGTCTTGTGGCTCCTTGCATCAGTGTTTGGATGGAGATCAGCAGCTCATCTGGTTCTCAGACTCAGAGTATGCCAAGATTGGTCCATAAGTTTTTCTCTGACTCCGTGCTTTTGTTTGATAGATCTTCCATTACCGGATATTGAAAAGAACGACTCTGACTACAGTCTCCCACCGCCGATAAAGTCGAAGCAGCAGCAGCAACTAACTGCTTGTGTTCCATGGGGAAAACGCGTCGAAGAGCTTCCCGGATTTCTGGAGGCCATGACCGCTGCAAAAGAGCGTCAAACCCGGCTCGGCCCGGACGAAAAAAGCCGAAGCTTTCTCAAAGTTATGTGCAAGACGAGCGCAAACGGATGGATCATGGTAAGTTTTTTCCACTGTCAAAGAAGCGGTGTCATTTTGTTTATCTTCCAGGGATTTCCGTTAAAGTTTTCGAGGAAATACATGCCGCAGCGGCGAGCCGAGCTAACTATCTTGGACGAGAGCGGTGATTCGTGGCCAGTGAAATGGGTGTGGACACCCGGTTTGATGCACCCGTCGATCAACGCCGGCTGGAAGCTTTTCAGCACCTCTCACGGCCTCGAGAGAGGGGACGTGTGCCTCTTCCATCTCCACAACGCGAAGTCTCTGGCTTTCAAAGTTTACATTTTCAAGAGGCAGCGGAGGGGAAGCAAGCGTAAGCATCAACAGCAGCAGCAGCAGCAGCGTGGCCGCATCGGTTTCAACACAGCAGACGTGATTCCAGACTCGGAGGAAGAGGAAGGCTACGAACAAGAAGAAGACGATGGAGCCAGCTTCGAGGAGCTGGAAGACATCACAGGTACGACGGAGATCAAGCTCTCGGTGAGCCAGGCAAAGTCCGC